TCCTTTGTGTGAAATACCTGGTGATCCTGCTAGTCCCCCTGCTCTCCTATTCCAAACTGATATTGCTGCAATAGTTGTGAAGAAGGCTTCAGGACACCCAAGAAAGTCTAGCAAACACCAGGACTGTTTCCTACAGTTGATTCAGCTGCAGGATCAAGGCACCACCAGTGCACAGCTTGCTCAGGAATGGCAGCAGGCAGGTGTACAGACTGAGTGCAAAGACTTTTGGAGGATGGCCTGGTGTCAGGAAGAGCAGCAAATAATCCACTTCTCTCCAGGCAAAACATCGGGGACAGACTGATATTCTGCAAAAGGTAAAGGGATTGGACTGCTGAGGACTGGGGTAAAGTCATTTTCTCTGATGAATCCCCTTTCTGATTGTTCGGGGTATCTGGAAAAAACCTTGTCTGGAGAAAAAAAGGTGAGTGCTACCATCAGTCCTGTGTCATGCCAATAGTAACGTATCCTGAGACCATTCATGTGTGGGGTTGTATCTCAGCCAAGGGAGTGGGCTCACTCACAATTTTGCCAAAGAACACAGCCATGAATAAAGAATGGTGCCAAAAACATCCTCCGACAGCAACTTCTCCCAACCATCCGAGAACAGTTTGGTGATGAACAATGCCTTTTCCAGCATCATGGAGCACCTTGTTATAATGCAAAAGTGATAACTAAGTGGTTTAGGGAACAAAACATTGAAATTTTGGGTCCATGGCCAGGAAACTCCCCAGACCTTAATCTCATTGAAGACTTTTGGTCAATCCTCAAGAGGCGGGTGAACAAAAAAAAAACCCCACAAATTCTGACAAACTCCAAGCATTGATTATGCAAGAATGAGCTGCCATCAGTCAGGATTTGGCCCAGGAGCATACTGACAGCATGCCAGGGTGAATTGCAGAGGTCTTGAAAAAGAAGTGTCAACACTGCAAATATTGACTCTTTGCATAAACTTAATGTAATTGTCAATAAAAGCTTTTGACATCTATGAAATGCTTATAATTATTCAGTGTACCATAGTAACATTTGACAAAAAGATATAAAAACACTGAAGCAGCAGACTTTTGAGAATGACACAAATATTAATTTAAACGTTTGGTCACGGCTATACCGCACCCCTCCAAACCCCCCTATGCAGCTGACAACAGAGGTTATGTAATCACTTATTAAAGAAAGAAAAAAAGGTATTTATGATTGATAGATATATATATATATATTTTTTTTTTTTTTTTTTTTTTTATAAAATGGGTTGTTTCAAATCATTAGCAAGACATCATCTGGAATATTCAGTTCGGTTTTGGGCACCAATTCACAAAAAGATTATTGGGGAACTGGAGAAAGTGCAGAGAAGGGAAACCAAACTGATACGAGGCATGGAGGAGATCAGCTATGAGGAAAGATTAGAGGAACTGAATTTATTCTCTAAAAGGAGATTAAGAGGGGATATGATAAACATGTATAAATACATCAGTGGTTCATATAGTGAGCTCGGTGTACAGTTATTCACCCTGAGGCCATCAAAGAGGACAAGGGGGCACTATTTACATCTGGAGGAAAAGAGATTTAATCTCCAAATACGGAAAAGTTTTTTCACAGTAAGAGCTGTGAAAATTTAGAATAGACTCCCTCAAGAGTTGGTTTTGGCCAGCTCAGTAGATTGCTTTAACCACTTCAAGTCCGGACACTTTCACCCACTTCCTGTCCAGGCCAATTTTCAGCTTTCAGCGTTATCACACTTTGAATGACAATTGCGCGGTCATGCAACACTGTACCCATATGAATTTTTTTGAGACAGATAAAGCTTTATTTTGGTGGTATTTATTCACCACTGGGATTTTTATTTTTTTTTGCTATATAAATGAAAAAGTCCAAAAATTTGGAAAAAAAAAGTGTTTTTTCTTATAAAAATTTGCAAATAAATAATCTTTCTTCATAAATCTTGGTCAAAATTTATTCAGTTATCTTTTTAGTAAAAAAAAAAAAAAAAATTATAATTAAAATTTTTTTTTTTTTTTTTTATATTATTCAGGGTTTTTTTTACACACTGTCACCCTAGCAGTACAGTGTCACCATGGTGACACTGTATTACTTGTGAGGGGGTTATGAAGATTTTTTTTTTTTCTTTACACTGATTGCTTTTACACCCATAAAGGCTGTAAAAGCAATCATTTCTCCTTCTCTCCGACTGCATTCTTGCAGCCATTGAGAAATACTGTGTGAGTTGTGATTGGTCACAGCTTGTCACATGGTACAAGGCTGTTGTGAATAACCTTGTACCATGTGACCTCTGTGATCATTCACAGATTTCACACGTAGTAAGCAATGATGTCAGAAGTGACATCTTGCTCACTACTCTTCATGTGATCACTGATTGGTCAATCAGTGATCACATGATCGGGACCCCGAACAGAGGTCCCTTACAACGATCGGTGTTCCACTGTGTCCGGAGGACACAGCGGGCACTGGATCGCGGTGCTGCGCACTCCCAGGCAGCGCGCACAAGCAGGGGGGTTTATAAATGGCCACCCGCCCCTGCACTGCCACCGTCCGGTTATATACATGGGCCGGACAGGAAGTGGTTAAAAAAGGCCTAAATTCTTTCGTAGATACACAGAATATAACTGGATACTAACATTTATAGGTAAAGTTGAACCAGGGAATATCCGACTGCCTCTCGGGGGATCGAGAAGGAATTTTTTCCCCCGCAGGAGTAAATTGGACCATGCTTTGCTGAGGTTTTTTTACCTTCCTCTGGATCAACTGTGGGTATAGGATTATAACTTTTTTTTTTATGGTTGAACTAGATGGATGTTTGTCTTTTTTCAGCCAGACCATGTACTGTAACTATGTTTTGTAAGATGAACCTTCACATATGCTTTTTTTTTGCTATATAAAGGAAAAACAACTGGAAATTTTGAAAAAAAAAAAATCTTTGTTTCTTTTATAAAACTTTGCAAATAAATAATCTTTCTTCATAAATGTAGGCCAAATATATTCTACTACATTTCTTTGATGAAATACTGTAAAAACCAGCCTTTCTCAACCGAGGTGCCCAGGCACCCTGGGGTGCCTTGGCAAAATGTCTAAAATGTCTAAAATTGCCCAAAACTTGTATACAAGCCAGCTGGTGGAACAAGCTTGCCTTTTAGTTACACAAAGCCACAGATTTTCATTGTGCACCATTACGACCTTCTAGCCTCCAGAATGCTGACAAACAATGACATCATCAGTTGATGAGCAGGATGTTGGTTGCCTGCACAACATCCTTGTTTGACCCTCCCCTGCCCCTTCTGCGCCAGCACTGGGGTCACATTATAAGAGTAAGGGAGAGAAAGTGAGGGAGCAGAGAAACATTGGAATACTAGTTAGTACCAGTGTGCGAAAGTGTATTTGCTGTGGAAGAATAAATCACCTCTTTGGTGTCTTACATATGTGGGTGTTGCTGTATTATATAAAACTATTAGAATTTTTGTTATATTTTTATATTTTAGAATGGGCTGCCTCTGAGCTATCCATAATTTTAGAGCATGCCTTGACAAAAAAAAAAGCTTGAGAAACACTGGTCTAGAACAGCTTTTCTCAACCAGGGTGTCCAGGCATCCTGGGGTGCCTTGAGGTTTCCTCAGGGGTACTTTGGCAAAATGTCTACAAATTGCTCAAAACGGGTGGAGAAAGCCTGCCTTTTAGTTACACAAAGCCAAAGGTATTCATTGTGCACCATTACAACCTTCTAGCCACTGGTATCCTGACAACCAATGACATCATCAGGGGCGGACTGACAACTCATGGGCCCCCAGGCTAGAGGGGATCATGAGGCCCCTGTGTCCTAGCCCACACTCAAACCACACCCAAAAAAAGCCTATGAAAGGTACCAGGGACATCTCATGGGGCCCCCTACTGACCCCAGGCCCTCGGGCAGTGCCCGAGTTCCCAAATGGTCAGTCCACCCCTGGACATCATCAGTTGATAAGGAGGATGTCAGCTGCATGCACAGCATCCTAGTTTGACCCTCTCCTGCCCCTCTCAATCAGTGCTGGGGTCACATAAGGTTCAGTGATGGAGAAAAACTAAGGGAGAAGAGAAACATTGGAATACTACTTAGTACCAGTGTGCAAAAGTGTATTTGCTTTGGAAGAATAAATCACCTCTAATGTTGGGTCTCCTACATATATGGATGTTGCTGCGTTATATAAAGCTATTAGAATAGAATGGGATGCCCTTTTCAAATTATGGACAGTCTAGACCAGCGGTTCTCAACCTGGGGGTCGCGACCCCTTTGGGGGTCGAACGACCATTTCCCAGGGGTCGCCTAAGACCATCGGAAAACACATATTTCCGATGGTCTTAGGAAACCGAGACACCGCTCCTCTGACTCAGTCGATGTGTGGGCGGGATGACACGCTGCCCTGTCACCTGGCCACACCTCCGGGATCCCTCAACAACTCCGCCTCCTCGCCGCTGATTGGCCACCGGAACTGTAGCTCAGGAGAGGCACACAGGCGGCCAATCACCGGCGAGGAGGTGGAGCTTGGAGAGGAGGAGCCGAGCGGCAGCGCGCGTAGATCTAAGAAGATCGAGGGAACTGCCGGAGTAAGTGAAGAGGAGAGCGGCCAGAGAAGGAAGACAGCTGACAGGTAAGTGAGAGAGCGAGCCCAGGCTGGAGCAGGGGTCAGCAAGGTAAGTATCATTGGTGTCAGTGGGAGGAATAGTGCCCCATCATTTGTGTGACTAATACCAACAATGGGGCACTATTTCTCCCACTGACACCAATGATGGGGCACTATTTCCCCCCCCCCCGCACTGACACCAATGATGGGGCACTATTTTCTCCCCCCCACTGACACCAACGATGGGGCACTATTCCTCCCCCCCACTGACACCAACGATGGGGCACTATTCCTCCCCCCACTGACACCAAGAATGGGGCACTATTCCTCCCCCCACCGACACCAACGATGGGGCACTATTTCCCCCTCCACCACACTGACATCAATGATGGGGCACTATTCCTCCCACTGACACAATGATGGGGCACTATTCCTCCCACTGACACCAATGATGGGGCACTATTCCCCCCACTGACACCAATGATGGGGCACTATTCCCCCCACTGACACCAATGATGGGGCACTATTCCCCCCACTGACACCAATGATGGGGCACTATTCCTCCCCCCACCGACACCAACGATGGGGCACTATTCCCCCCCCTGACCCCAAAGATGGGGCACTATTTCCCCCTCCACCACACTGACATCAATGATGGGGCACTATTCCTCCCACTGACACCAATGATGGGGCACTATTCCCCCACTGACACCAATGATGGGGCACTATTCCCCCCACTGACACCAATGATGGGGCACTATTACCCCCCACTGACACCAACGATGGGGCACTATTCCCCCCACTGACACCAACGATGGGGCACTATTCCCCACCATGGGGCACTATTCCCCCCACAATGATGGGGCACTATTCCCCCAATGACACCAACGATGGGGCACTATTCCCCCCTTCTGACACCAACGATGGGGCACTATTTCCCCACTGACACCAACGATGGGGCACATTGGAATATTCCCCCCACTGACACCAACGATGGGGCACTATTCCCCCCACTAACACCAACGATGGGGCACTATTCCCCCCACTGAATTTTTGAACGATTGGGGCACTATTCCCCCCCTCTGACACCAACGATGGGGCACTATTCCCCCCAAAAAACTGACACCAACGATGGGGCACTATTCCCCCCACTGACACCAACGATCCGGGGGGCACTATTCCCCCCAGACACCAACGATGGGGCACTATTCCCCCCACTGACACCAACGATGGGGCTGCCTATCCCCCCACTGACACCAACGATGGGCACTATTCCCCCCACTGACAACCCAACGATGGTGCACTATTCCCCCCACTGACACCAACGATGGGGCACTATTCCCCCACTGACACCAACGATGGGCACTAGCCCCACTCAAACCACACCCAAACTATGAAATGGTACACAGGGCACTATTCCCCCCCACTGACCCAACGATGGCAGTGCACTATTCCCCCCACTGGACACCAACGATGGGGCACTATTCCCCCCACTGACACCAACGATGGGGCACTATTCATCCCACTCAATCAGTGATGGGGCACTACTCCTTCCACTGACACCAATGATGTGGCACTAGTCCTCCCACTGCAAAATTACAGTTATGTAAGTAGCAACGAAAATAATTTTATGGTTGGGGGTCACCACAACATGAGGAACTGTATTAAGGGGTCGCGCGGCATTAGAAAGGTTGAGAACCACTGGTCTAGACTGTCCTTAATTTTAAACGGTGACTCGGGAATGTCCACAATTTTAGAGGGTGCCTTGACTGAAAAAAGGTTGAGAAACACTGGTTTATACCATGGTATATGTATTTTGAAAATTGATCAATTCTGTTGTTCTGATGGTCCATCTCTATCCTGGAGGCTTCAAAATACCAGGACATTTACAAATACCACCAAAATCAATCCATTATAGAAAGTAGGTAGTCTGAGGTATTTAGTAAGAGGCATGGTGACAGGGAATTTTTTGCCACAATTCTTTGGAAAGTGATAAAAGTAAACAATATTTGTTCTTTTAACAAAGTTGTAATTTTAACAAATTATTTCTTGTACACAGTATAGGCATACTACAATTACACCCCGAAACTCAATCAGCTACTTCTCCTGATTATAGGGGTACCACGTGTGTGAGACTTTTTCACAGCCTAGATGCATAGAAGAGCCCAAAATACAAGAAGCAACGTCAGGCTTTCTAGGGGTATAAACTATGCATCCAATTTCCTAACTACCTATCACACTTTTGGAAGCACTGGAGCACCAGGACAGTGGAAACCCCCATATGATGACACCAATTTGAAAAGCAAACACCCCAAGAGGTATAACAAGTCTTTTGCAAATGCTTTTTTTTGCCACAGTTTTATGGAAAATGCATTTTTACACAGATTTGTCAATTAGAAGATATTTCTAACTCATAGCAAAGGAAAGAAATACATCCCAAAATGCATTTTGCTAATCCTCCCGAGTATGGGTTTAACACATATGGAAGACTTTTTCACAACCTAACCAAATAGAGAGGCCCAAAATCCAAAGAGCACTTTCTAGTTTGCAAAGGGCTTACATTATCCATCTAATTTCCTAACTACTTGTCACATTTTTGGAGACCTTGGAGCACCAGAACAGTAGAAACACCCACATAATTACCACATTTTGGAGAGTAAACACACAAAGGTATTTTTAATAAGCATGGTGAGTCTTTCAAAAACTTAAATTTTTGCCACAGGTTTTGGAAAATGCAGAACGAAAATGCAAATAAATGTTTTACACAAAGTTGTCAATTGTATAAAACATTTTTCACACACAGCATGGGCATACTTAAAATTACGCACTAAAACACATTCCGCTACTCCTCCCGAGCATGGGGATACCATATAGGTAAGACCTTTTTTCAATACGTGGACTGATTATGTACCAAACATTGGGGACAATTCACAAAGCGGTATCTTACCACATCCAAGTATGCTGTAAGATACCACACATCGTTTCTGAAGAAAAAACATTGGCATTCACTAAAAAATGCTACTAAAATACTGCATGAATTAGTCATGCAGTATTTTAGTAGTGAAAACATGTGGTAATGTAATGAGTCATCAGCTGTCAGCGGGTATAAAAATAGAATTGCCAGCAATTGAAAATGAAGAAAAAAAGGGCATGGGTCCCTACCCAATCCATACCAAGCCCTTTGGGTTTGGTATGGATTTCGAGGGGAACCCCCACACGAAAATTACCAGACCCTTATCCAAGCATGCAGTCCGGCAGGTCAGGCAAGGGGGAGGGGGGAGACAAGCGAGAGCCTCCTCCTGAACCATACCAGGCCACATGTCCTCAACATGGGCAGTGCTTAGGGGCAGTGGGGGTTCCACCCCCCCCAAAGCACCTTGTCCCCATATTGATGGGGACAAGAGCCTCTTGCCCACAACCATGGTTGTGGGGGTCTGCGGGTGGTGGGCTGATTGAAAAGTGGAAGCCCCCTTTAACAAGGGAGCCCCCAGATCCCACCCCCCTCTTTACTCATTCACCACAAAAAGTGTAGTGTAAAAAAACATAGGAGGCAGTTTTTGACAAGTCCTTCATAAAAAAAAAACAAAAATCAAAAAAAAATGTCCCCTGGTGTAGATCCATCGTCAATCACGATGCCTGCCACCACCGCCAACTCGAAAAAAGAAAAAAAAAAGGCTCCTCTCTCGACAAAGGTTTCCACCTACTGACAGCTCTGCCGCCTGACAGTTCTTAAATAACTAAGGGGACCACGCCCCCTTGTGACATCACTGACTGGGGCATGCTGGGTCGATGTCACAAGGGGGCAGGGTCACCGAGCGATGTCACCCCCTTGCTCCAAAGCACCCCCCCCCCCATGTTGAGGAAATGTGGCCTGGTGTGGTTCAGGGAAGGAAGGGGGAGCTTGGTCCTTTCCCCCCCTTTTCTGACCTGGTGGGCTGCATGCTCGGATAAGGGTCTGATATGAATTTTTGTGGGGCCTTTCTTACTTTTTAATAGCCAACAATTCTTTGTTTTTACAGTCAGCTGTCAGTGGGGAACCCTGCTGACAGCTGATGACTCATCGGCTATTAAGGACGTGGCAGCAGCCCGCTCCTAAACCATGACAGTTACTGGTTGTTAAGGATGCTGGCAAACTGCCTGCTCCTTAACAACCAGTACATACTACATGCCTTGACCATTTCCTTCTGTGAATTGAGTTTATGGTCTTAACATGCAGTATTTACTGAGCGTTTTTGTTATTTGCGGTAAGTACCGCATACTAGCAATAGTCAATTGACATTTTCGGTATTGCATACGATATGTGGTCACCTGACCGACATAACGCATGTGTAACGGAACCGGACCCCGACTGCACTAGGGTATTTCCGTTAGACTTCTGCTTCCCTGTCCACACACAGATCCACGGACACCAATGCTGACCATACAAGAGGAGACAGCACCAGACTTGAAGGATTCCAGGAGATAGACTGCTTTATTTTAACATAAATACAAGATATATACACAGGGCGGGGAAATACACACCCAGTAACAGGAAACACATCAGCAAGCAGTCCCATCAAGGGAAAGGGCTGCCGGAAAAAAACCCCCACCACCAAGCCAATACACAAATACATACATCCCATAATAGTTTTTGCTCCCAAGCAAGACACACAAAAGAACAATGGGACAACCACATGGCATTAAACAATGAACAACCCGCACCTATACATGTCTACAGAATAGTAGGACATTCCACCCTGTATCCCTAACAGGCACAGGTTGACTTACACATAAGAGGGATATGGGGAGTTGAGACAGGGGTCTCCCCACCTCTCTAAAGTGAGCTGTGTTCCATGGGCCCCCCCACCCAAAGTGACTACCATCACATATCTCCCCTTTCGGCAGGAGACTAACACAGGAGTAAACCCCTGACGGGTGGACTCTGAAGTTAGTCTGTACTTCCAGTCCCCCAATGCCAGCACCCACACAGTACCCCAAGCATATTGTCCCAAACATAGCATTACTCACCCAGCCAACCTCTGCCTCTCTCGTAGAACATACCCGCTGCTGGGGAGAAGTACGAACTGGTCCTTCTTACTGAAGTCCTCTCAGCCGCTGGAGAGAAGACAGGGTGGCTGGGCTGACTCCATCATGCTGTTGGGGATCTGGGCCGACTGCCCAGCATCCCTGGTGTATCCAGGTGGTGACTGTAGTCTTATCCACTTTGACTTGATGGACATCCCCCAGTGTTTGCAAAGTAAGGCTGACATCCTATTGTCCCAAAGCCAGACCCTTTTCTGGGGTTGTGTCAGTGGAGACCGAAGTCCCATCCACGGACATAAGCTCAAGCTGCCATTGTGAGGTGCTGATTGCATCCTCTTCCTGTAGCTCCTGCAGTGCCGATTGTTGTGGCAGAGGTAAACAACGCCATGCCCTGATGCCAGCTCTTCTGCTGGAGGCTCGCCGGCTGGTTCCTCCTCAACAGAAAAGTCAATAAAATCCCCAGTCTCTGGAACCGGTGTCTGGGGATAGGGGTTAACCATCTCCTGTCCATGGAACTCAGATGTTACCAGTGCTGGGCAGAGTTCAGTAATGTTTGGCCCTGTTACCAGCTCTTCTGCTAGAGGCTGGTTCCCCCTCAGCAGAAAAGTCAATCAAATCCCAGTCTCTGGAATTTCCACTGCTGATTCTTGGGCATGCTGCTGAACATGTTTTAGCAGTTGCCTGTATGTCCTTTCCAGATCCTGTTCTTTCATCAGCAGGTATTCCAGATCTGGTTTAAGCTCTGAGAACCCTGTGAAACCAAACATAGCCTCTCTGTCTTCTCGCAGGTCCTCAAGGGT